TCCATTACCATGTTTCATTTTACCCTGAAGAAGGAACAAAGAAATAAATCGACCGGGTTGGTGTGAGAAGCTGCTGTGAACTTGTGGCCCTATTTACTTGAATTGTCTCTTGATACTACCAGTAAGCTGGTTGCTAATTATACAAACAGTGCTTATTTAGCTTGTGGAGAAAGCTGTGTTTAATGTTTAGAAAATGTGGAAGCTCTTTGTGATTCACTTCAACTCCAGCAGGGTAGGTGTTGAGGGGATCCAGGAGCAAATGGGGTTGGTGGCGGGTCTGAGACCCTGTGCTGGTTGAGAGAGGCTAGGTTTAGAGCCTCCAGCTCCCTCCAAAGCCTGACGGCATCACTCCCATCCAATTTGCAGCGGTTTCAAATGGATCTGGAGACAGGAAGCATCTGTTTTCTTTAAGCGACCACACCTGTTTGATATCCATCCAAACAACATGTTTTAAAACGAGGCCGTTTCTAATTTTTCATGTTCATCAGAAACACAAAACTCAGCCACAGGTTCATAATCAATGCCCAGTGTAGAGCCAGAAAAGGATAATTTCCAAGATATTGTTAGTAGTAACTACACAATCCTTTTTTTCAGAAGAACAACTACACAATCAAAGAGCAGGTGATGGATGCACAGTTGAGTTTCTGAACAAAAGGTAAGATCAGGTTCCCCCTTTTCAGATTGCTCATGGTCATCATTTTGTTATGAGATACTATTACTTACTAGCCAGAGGAAAACCTCAACTTCTGAAGGGACTTGTATTTGGAAGAAATAAAGGCTCGAGTCACTCCCTCTGTAAACTAATACTGTATAAGATCTTTTAGATCATTAAAGTAGTGATCTAAAAGATCTTATATTAGCTTACAGAGGGAGCTCTATGGAGCTGGTTGAGTAAACTCCGCTGTTGGTATATTGCCAGATCTTTCAGGGCAACCATGGCATTGGCCTGGTTAATGCTGGAGGCAATCTGCTCTAGCTCATACCAAAACTTCATCACAGCTGGGGTTAAATTCCTTCCAAAGTTAAGCATGAGAGTATGGCCATCCCACTGTCACGACCCAAGATCAGAGATGGGACGGAGAGACGGATCAGCACCAATATCTAGATATAAATTGAGGATACAAGGAGAATCTGGGATGAGAAATCAGCAAGCAAGGAGAGGAATACAGAGAGCAGGAGGTGAGGAGCTGGAGCAAGGGGGCGAGAGACTTGATAACGATTCATTCCTTCGATGCCCTCCTCCTGTGCTCGCCGGGTTGCATATGTAGCTTGTGTGAAGCCTCCGATGACCAGCCCATCTCGTAGCCGAGGCCCATGTTACATACATAACGTGACAGCCCATACTGGGGGTGTTACACTCTCCACCCCTTGAAATTCGGCTTGCCCTCAAGCCGATGATGATCAAGCTGGACCCATGAGTGCCTCCTATCTCATCTGGCTGAAGAGCCAACCCTCCTGGATCATAGGGTAGTATCATGCGCTTGCAAATGGTCAGATCAGAGGAACAAGACTTGACTTCACTGCTAAAAGGAGTTGCAACTGCAGAGTAGGACATCTTGTGGACACACATGATACATCTGAACCAACCAGTGTCCTTGAGAGCAAGCAGGCAAGTGCAATATTTGGGCCCTCCACTGACCAGATACCCAGAGCAAATGATACATAAAAGATAGCAAGAACACTCACGCACATAACTTGTGTAGTGGTCTACCTTTCCTTTTGGTTGTGCCCATGACCAGAAAGAACTGAGCAGCTGGTTAGTAGGCTGGAGATGTTGCAACAACATGACTGCAGTTCTTATGCTGCCTTGAGATTGATGATTCATCACATAATCGAGCCATCCTATGAACATCTGCACCTGCTTATACATTGTGATACGAGGTGTCCATTCATGAAGTGATCTTGTATCAGATGGGAACCACCATAGAAACAGTGAGCAATGGATCCTAGGGAAATATATCTCAATTCTGTAAGTCTGGAGAAATATAAGGAACTGAAAGGGCAAGTGGCCAGCTGGACCATCTTGAGAAAACTTGCGTGTGAAGTGTAAGTGTCCAGAAAATGCTGCACCCTTGTACTCATAATTGTGAGAAGACCAAATGCCAGCGACTATCTCTCCCGGAATCAAGTTGGTCTGGCATTCACTAGTACAAAGAGCAAGAGAAGAGCAACAGAGTAAACCAGACTTGGGATCAAAGACATGTACCCTTTCTTCCGTTTCCGCTCGATCAACTAACATGAGACAGAGTACCCAAGAACTCCATGGAGTGCAAATAAGACGTGTGTCTCTTGATCGTGTTGTACCTGTAACATCAGATTGTATCAAGGAATTGTTGTTGATTCCGAACTGCTTTTTAGTAGCTGTAGCTGCACTCAGAGTTCCATGATCTGAAAACTTTGTTATCGGCAGGAGGGCTTGAAGCTGTAACATGAAACTGAACACTGTTTCTGCAGATATTGGGTACAACCATACACTCAGGAAGGCAAGAACGCTACTTTTTGCAGACCACATCTCATAACTTGTTCACCCGCTTCAAGAATGTAATTAAGCCTTTTGTTCTTCTGGTCAGATGTTTGGCAGAAATAGCCGACTCCGGGGGTTCGCCTACTCACAAATTCCACAAGAATGCCACTTAATAAAATTTGTGATTTTTGTTTTGTGTTCAATGTAGCTTCGCCAGCCCTCCCAAAATTCGTATAACTTTCTCGCTGAGATGAACGCCACTGCTGTGGATATGCATATTGCCAATAACCACAGGGGCCCCCAATACAATATAACTCACACCGGGAACTTCTCAGTGCAGCAAGTAGTTGTAAATAGTGTCCATCAAATGAGCTATTCCAATGCAATACCAAACTGGCAGCCCAACATTTGAGATCCTCGTGTGGCTGACATGTAGATAGTTTCCCAAATATACCTTGAGTTGCTGGACGTGGATCTTGAGGACTGCTTGCTTCTGAATGGCATTTAAATGATGGCCATGGCATTGGTAGTAACATTTGTGCTTGTTGCTTTATGTTCACATTATTATCCAGCATGTACGTGGGCGTCAACGCACCAATGTGGTCGAAGCAGAGGGTCCAACACCTTGTTGACGCCATGGTGTCCAGTTTGGGGGTGGAACATGACCAATGCGCTATGGTTGGCACGACCTTGAGAGGAGCTGCGGAGAATGGTTTGACACTGCACACAATGAGGGGCACCGGCACATAACTGTTGACTTCAGCATTGGTCGGACCAACAATAGAGCACACATCGAATGTTGGTGCAGCAACACTGATGGCTTCGATGTCGATGGTCTCTCCGCATAGAGCAGAAGCTGCCGGCTCAGGGGAGATGTCAACGGCGGCGGGACTTGGGCACTCTGTCAAACATGTGATAGGTGTCGGTGCAGCATGGTTGCTGCTGTCAATGGTGATGATGTTGTCATCTGCACTGCACTCCACTGGGGTAGTGGGCTCAAGGAAGACGTCCGTGAGGATCACCGTAGGCATGAGGACGTGAACTCCATGGCCGTCATCAAGTTTCTCCGCAGCCATTGCCGCCTCCTGCACGATTTCATCCTCCCTTATCCGGGCAAGGGACGAAGTCCCGGTGATGCTTAATGGAGATTGCGACCGCACGACATCCTTGATATCTTCCTGCAAACCCTCAATGTATTGGTGGACAAAACTCTTGATGCTCAGGTTGGGGTTGAGATCCAGCACACGATGTACGCATTCCCAGAACACCGTCGTGTACTCGGCCACGGTTGCAGTCTGCTTCTGCTCGAGCAGCGAGCACAAGTGCAGGTTGTACTCCGGTGACACATCCTGGATGTCGAGGAGGCAGGCACGCTCATAGATGCACCGACCATGCATGGCAAGAGCCCGCGCTGCTCCGCGTCTTGATCGAAGCTGAACCACTGCCTCCACATGGTTGATTCTCTGGAACATGGAGATCTTCACCACACCATACAATGTAAACACCTGTTGCAGCGTCTCCTCAGTGACCGGGTAGTACACATGATGCACAGTGACGTGAAGAACGCCGCCGGTGAACAACTCTTCGTGGCTGGACATTTGGTCGAACACCTTGTAGGCAGGAAGTGGGTGGTGATTTTTTTCTTGGCTCTGAATACCAAATTGTCACGACCCAAGATCAGAGATGGGACGGAGAGACGGATCAGCACCAATATCTAGATATAAATTGAGGATACAAGGAGAATCTGGGATGAGAAATCAGCAAGCAAGGAGAGGAATACAGAGAGCAGGAGGTGAGGAGCAGGAGCAAGGGGGCGAGAGACTTGATAACGATTCATTCCTTCGATGCCCTCCTCCTGTGCTCGCCGGGTTGCATATGTAGCTTGTGTGAAGCCTCCGATGACCAGCCCATCTCGTAGCCGAGGCCCATGTTACATACATAACGTGACAGCCCATACTGGGGGTGTTACACCCACACTTCAGAATTCGTGGTGCACTGTTGATTTTGAATGTGGTAAAGGGGCCAATACTGAACAGCTAGGGGAACAGATGCCAAGCCAGGTAATAATCAACAGACTATTTCAGTTACTTCGTTGGAGAATCCAAAATTTGATAGTGGTGCATTGCAGAAATTTCAGCTAAACTAATTTGTCAACATTCTGGAGAGGCTCTGGCATTTCTCAGTAGACGTACCGAAACAAAAAAAGGAGACTGAAGGTTCATTAAGATACCGAAACGAAACTGAACTAGTACATTTAAAAGGAAAAAAAAATAGCATCACATATAATGCTAAATTGCTAATACCCTTGATGCGGCCTGTAGAGAACAAGAGAATTGTACCACAGACCAATGGATATATCCTTGCCACACAGACTGGAATAAGAGACAAATGTTTTTTTTTTCTTTCATTTGGAGGGTACAATCTTCATTATACACATCACAACACTGCACGTAAAAATGTGATTACATGATCTTCCTATGTCTTATAGACGCATACACCTAATATAATACAGTAAGTTCAAGAGACAACAGACAATTTAACTGTACAGATCATCCTCTTCAGCTGCCATGGTAGAGGATGCGAAAGGATCTGTCGCCGCGGTAGCACCTGCCGCCGGCTGATCAGCGAACCGGAACTCGGTGCCGAAACCACGGGACTGCTGCAGCGTCTGAGCAAAGGCCTGGTATTTGCGAATATCAGCATCGCTCACACTCCGGCGTGCATACCTCATGCTCTCCTCGAAGTGAGCAGCCTTGATCTCGTCCACCTCGTCTTCCTCCATGGCTTCAGGGTTTTCCTTCAGCCGCCTCTCCTTTTCCATGTCCTTCTCAATGTTCTCTCTGATGGCGTATTTGCACGCACGCTGGCAGATTTCCATGATGTCCGCGCCGCTGAACCCTTCTGTGTATTTGGCGAGCGCATTCAGGTCGACATCCTTGGCCACAGGAGACTTCCTGAGGCAGGCCCTGAAGATCTGGAGCCTGGATTCAACATCAGGCAGAGGAATGTAGATAAGCTGATCAAGGCGCCCCGGCCTCAGCAAGGCAGGGTCTATGATGTCTGGCCTGTTGGTGGCACCGATGATGAACACGGTTTTTTTGGCATTCATTCCGTCCATCTTGGTGAGAAGCTGATTCAGCACCCTATCAGCGGCACCTCCGGCATCGCCTACACTGTTTCCTCTCTGCGTGGCAATCGAGTCGAGCTCATCGAAGAAGAGGACACATGGTGCCGACCCCCTGGCCTTGTCGAAAATCTCACGCACATTGGCCTCGCTCTCACCAAACCACATGGTAAGCAGCTCCGGTCCTTTGATGCTAATGAAGTTAGCCTGGCACTCGTTAGCAATCGCCTTGGCCAACAAGGTCTTGCCGCAGCCCGGAGGGCCGTAGAACAGAACACCTTTGGAGGGAGACATGCCAAACTTCTCAAACTTCTCTGGGTACTCCACCGGATACTGGACGGTCTCCTGCAGCTCCCTTTTGACACCCTCCAGACCACCAACATCTTTCCAAGAGACATTTGGAACTTCAACGACAGTTTCGCGAAGAGCGGAAGGGTTGCTTGTTCCTAGTGCAATCTTGAAATGGTCGTTGGTGACAGCCATAGAATTCAGTATCTCCGCATCAATGGTGTCATCCTCAAGGTCGATGACATCCATCTTCTCGCGAATGCACTGGAGAGCAGCCTCGGTGCAAAGGGCAGCGAGATCAGCACCTACATACCCATGAGTGTCCCTCGAGACATGCTCCAGTTCAACATCTTCAGCTAGCTTCATGTTTTTAGTGTGAATCCGGAGAACCTCAAGCCGCCCAACTTCATCAGGGACTCCAATGTCGATCTCCCGGTCAAACCTCCCAAACCTTCTGAGAGCAAGGTCGATGCTGTTTGGGCGGTTGGTAGCCCCCATGACAATAACATGTGCCCGGGACTTGAGCCCATCCATGAGAGTGAGCAGCTGTGAGACGATACGCCTTTCGACTTCTCCGTTGGTCTTGTCTCTCTTTGGTGCTATGGAATCGATCTCATCGATGAAGATGATGGCCGGAGCATTCTTCTCGGCCTCTTCAAACGCCTTCCTGAGGTTGCTCTCGCTCTCTCCGGCCATCTTCGACATGATCTCCGGGCCATTGATCAGGAAGAAGAAGGCCCCTGTTTCATTGGCCACAGCTCTAGCAATGAGGGTCTTGCCGGTCCCAGGTGGCCCATACAGCAAGATGCCCTTTGGAGGCTTCACACCGATGCACTTGAACAGCTGGGGGTGGCGCAGTGGGAGCTCAACCAGCTCTCTGATCTGGGCCATCTGCTTCCTGACCCCACCGACATCGTCGTAGCCTACGTCGTCGAGTCTCTCCTCATCCTCCCGCTTGACAGGCTCGCCGTCACAGAATATCTCCGTGTCAGACGCGACGATGCAGTACTCCGCGGGGTCGGTCTCCACAACCTTGAACTCCACGCTCGTCATGCCGCCTCTCACCAGGAACAAGTCTCCTTTCCTGAGGGGACGGTAGGCCTCGAGGAAGTAGGGTCTCAGGAAGGCATCGAACAGGTTTCCGGTGATCCCTTGGACGGTGTCGTCGACGGGGAGTACGTGGACGCGCTTCCCGTATTTGACGTCCGGGCACTGATGGACGGAGACGACGTCGCCCAGCCGGACCCTCAGGTTCTTCCGGACGACCTTGTTCATCCGGACCTTGGTCTTGTCGCACGTGCCGTCTGGGAGCAGAATGCAGACCGTGTCCTTCCGCTTCTTGCCCTTGAGCAGGACGATGTCGCCGTGGAAGAGCTCGAGGCTGTCCATGGTGTCCGGGTGCAGGGCGACGGTGGAGTTCTCGTCGTTGGTCGCCTCGTCGACCACCAGCCGGTTCGGCGACTTGTTTCTCTCCAGGATCGCCGTGGAGTAGTCCTTGTTCCCGCTAGCGTCGCCCTGGCTCGCCATGGGACGCACGTTTGTCTCGATTCGATTGGATTGTTTTCCTCGGGAAAGTGGGTAAACGATCCTTGGATCCTTGGTCTCGCGGTGCGATGTGAGGTGGAAGTTGAGGGGATCGGCAGGCCTTTATAGTATCTTCCTCCCTGTTCCTCGAGTAGGGGGTTGGTGTCGGCGTTCTCCAATCGGAGTCGCTGAAACAAGTCCGAGATGAAAGGGAAGTGAACGATAGTCCACTCCAGGTAGGAGACGGTCGATCGAGGGGACTCGGTGTCAGACTAATCGACAGCGAGAAAGAAATCGACAGCGAGACACAGACTGAAGAAACGGCGCAGGAAGAGAACAACGATTCGCTGGACGGCTATGATTGAAGGTCGCCAGATCAACGAAAGGCTCACGTCCACACCCAGCTCCTCTGTTTACCGTCCGACAAAATTTAACAGTTAACTGAAGCTTGTTCACTGCGCTTCAGTTAACTGCCGTCGCCTTTACCGCCGGTCATTATTGTGACGCTAATTATCTGAACACTGTTATTTAGATACATTATAACTGAGCACTTTTCCCCCTTCTCAGGCCATCAACACTCCTGGCCATCCGATCGTCAATTTGAACCATTTTCGGCCGTCGGATAAGCTGTGAATCACGGCTAATCCCGTGTCGTTCGCTAATTCAGATCGCTCAACGTCATGGGCCGCTGCTCCGGTAGTTTTTTTGGACGTTCTGGGTTAAATTGGGCCCGATGGGCCGTTCCATCGAGGAGTGTCTGTTGTGCGCCGTAAAAAGAGGAAGGAGTCCGCCCTGCGTTCCCATCGAGCGGATCGGTCGAGCACTAGAGCCGCCCGTCGATTTGGATGCGAGGCTGCGGGTGTGGCGACGTTGGCCGTGGGACGAGACCATACGCCGAGCTGGTTCGAGCCTCCCGGACCGGACGCCGATGCAGGATAGAGGCGAAGCGTCGTGGTCTGTTCAGAGGCGGGCGAGTGGAACTGGTCCGCCGGTATTGGGGACAATCAATTATCCGTTTCAGCAGGGCATTTATCGTGGATGATTAAATGGAGGTATGCGTTCTGTCTCCTCGACCCATACTTGCCAACCCTTCCCCTTAGTCTGCATCCAGCTACATCGTCTATAGCATTGCCGAAAGAGAGGAACATGACTTACAATCAGAGATGGAAGCCGCACGGGACGACCCTGACTGCGACCGGTGAGGGAAAACGGACTGGAGGGCGATGAACAAAACATCACGGGAGCTCGAACGGGTAAAAGGTCAATGGCACGGCAGCCCTCTTGCTCGTGCCTCCCCTCCCCACCCGCTGATACATCATCACTGCCCTTGATGTCTATCCCATCTCCACATTCACTTTGGCACCAACGCCCAACATCACCGACGCAATAGTCCATCTACAGTTCTGCACGGGTAGGCAGGCACAACAGCTACGAGCTCATGTACGGGTATTACGTATGTTGTTTTGCTTATCCTTCGCTACCACTAGCTAGCACACAATTCTTCTTATTTACTTATAATCTTTTCTTTTTTCCTTTCCTGCAGGATCATAGTCTGGAATGGATTTCACCTGATTTTGTTCACGTGGCTGACGCATCAGTACTTGTTAGATCGTGCTGAACTTTATATTTAATTTTCTCTTCATGGCTTCTGTTTACTAACTTATTTTTAGGAAATTATTGGCGTGTATGACCACTGGATCCCATTTTTTCTGATTCACAATTGGCAAGTTTGCTGCTATCTCTCCCATCCTATGTGTATTTGGCTTGGTGAATTTATGGATTTGTTTAACTGCTAAAATTAGATAGCTTTCTTGTTTATGGTTCTCAGTCTACTTGATCAAAGACAAGGGCAGCTCGGTATGGAAACTGATTAAATATTTTTACTCCAGTAGTACTAATGTGTGGCCTTTCTCCATTCTTCCAGTAACTTTGTACTTTGGCTATGTGAGCAATTGGGCACTTTCGTTCTGTTTTGAAAAAACAAAATTGTACTAGCATGTGTTATTTAAAGATTAGGGTCTGCAGAGCTATCTACCTATTGTCAAGCCTTTCTATAACTTGACAATTCAATGTTGATATGGTGAATTATATATCTTATTCTCTATAGGCATAGTATTCTTGCAAAATATCTAAACTTCTCTTGTGCAAAGGAATTAACACAAAATTCTAAGTTCACCTAAAATGGTACATTGTTAATATAACTCTTGGACAAAGTCTCATGATAAGCAACTATGAAAACAATTGTTATATGATTTGATTATTATCTATTCGATGTACTTCTATTTCATAAACCTTTATGGCATGAATGTAGAAGGATGCATATCGCTTAAATTGCAAAATTGTGCGAGAAAATGCAGTATACTCCATCCGTCCCAAAATAAGTGTTGCAGTTTTAGTTCAAATTTTAACTAAAACCATGACACTTGTTTTTGGACAGAGGGAGTACTAAAGAAATGTATACAAGTTGCTTTATATTCCTAATAACTAAATGCCAAAATAGACGGGCGCAGCAACGCGCGCCATCAATGATCTAGTTTATATTATACTGGAGGCAGAAGTTGATAGATTCTGCAGCTTAGGCATGATGTTGAAGCTGTTTACAAAACCTCTAACCCCAAGAATGTTGATACAGTTATTCTCGATGCTAACTTTTCATAAGCACGTTCTCACGTTTCAGTAGTACGCCCTTTGTACTGATCTAAGTGCTTTTATATTTCTTTACGGAGGGAGCACATATGCTCATGCGTTGCAACAAGAGAAAATTTTAGTTCATATTCAAGTTTAGTTAGAATAGTATGTGCAAAAATACATTCATTGTTCATGTAAAATTTAGTCAAAAGTGAACTTTTTTTCAACATCCAAGTTTATCGAAATAGGACATTGCTAATCTCTAATATTTCTTAACCTACCTCAACATATTTTCCCGATGAGACAAAATAAAGTTAGGAACTCCCCTAAAAAAATTAGGAACTCGATAAAGTTTGGCCAATACTGCTCACAAAATTCAGAGAGAGAGAGAGACACAGAGATAGCATACCCTCGCAGCAACTATTACTGTTCTGGGCTTCTTCACATTCAACTGAAGTGGTCTATTTGAGTTTTTCTTGTATATATTTTGCAAATACTGTACTAAAATACTATTTGGAGCTCCCACGGTTCTTGTTAAAAACAAAGTAATATAGGAAACGATAGCGAGACAAGGACTAAAATACCGTTTGATGCTAACTGAAGAAATCGACAGCGAGACACGGACTAAAGAAATGGCGCAGGGAAGAGAACGATTCGATGGATGGCTACGATTGAAGCTCACCAGATGAACGGCTCACGTCGACGCTCTACTCCCCTGTTTACCATCCGACAAATATAACAGTTAACTCGAGCTTGTTCACTGCGCTTCAGTTAACTGCCGTCACCTTTATCGTCGGTCATTTCCTGCCCTTAAGTAGCTCGCACATCATCTTTTTCTCCAAGTATTGTAATCAGCTCTAGAACCCTAGCTACTTGGTAGAATTATATTGATCCAAGAAAAGGGAGTGCGTTCTGAACTTCGCAAATATGCAAATCATAATGGTTGTGCGTGCGTGACTGGTAGAACCTAGAGGCCTACCGGGTCTGGGGCGTAGGTGGTATGGGAAGGAGGGAGGTGGGCGTGGGCTGGAGCGCGGCGGCCGGCGGCAAGGCGCTACCTTGCGTCAGGGGCGGCGGCGGCGAAGGCAAGTGGCGGCTAGGGTTTAGGGTTTCCGGCTCCTCTAGGAGCCGGGCAATAGAATAGTCTTATTGCTTAAATCTCAAAATAGTCTTACAATCTGTTTATATAACCATAACATGAAATAAAACTAAGATAACTTGTGGGCTAAGCTTGCCTGGTGGGCCTCCTACGGCTGTAGGTCCGGCCGGTCATAACATCTCTCCCCGCCTGCGCAGACAGCTCGTCCTCGAGCTGAAACTCTGGATAGTGGTGACGGAACTCCTCACACTGCTCCCAAGTGGCGTCCTCTGCCGAAGTCTAGCCCACTGAATCAGCACGTACCACACGCCTCGACGTAGCTGGGCCTTCAAAACCTTCTCCTGTCCAGGAAGAAGACGTCCGTCGACAGTCGGGGGAAGCGCTGGAGGGACCGCGGGTGGTTCTCCATGGAAAGGCTTGAGCAGCCCCACATGGAAGACGTCGTGGATGCGAACGCCCGCCGGAAGCTGAAGGCGGTAAGCCACCTTCCCAATGCGCTCCAGGACAGCAAAGGGCCCGGCATAGCGAGGACCCAGTTTCTTCTTCGCGCGGGGGTCTAGTGACTGCGTAGAGCGGTGAAGAAGACGGAGCCACACCCAATCGCCCACCGCGAACTCCGCCTCATGATGATGACCGTCGTAGTAGTGTTAGGCCAACTGCTGGGCCTGAAGGAGGCGTTGTCGGACCTCCGCGAGCATCTCGTCGCGGCTCCACAGAAGGTCCCTGGCCACCTCGGTCCGAGTTGTGGACGGATCAACCGGAAGAATCGGTGGAGGCGGGCGGCCATAGACCACCTCAAAAGGCGTGGCACGGAGGGCGGAGTGATAGGAGGTGTTGTAGCAGTACTCCACCCACGAGAGCCAGTCCACCCATGCACGAGGATGATCACCTGTGACACAACGCAAATACATGGCAATCACCTTGTTGACGACCTCGGACTGGCCATCCGTCTGAGGGTTGAAGGCCGTGCTCAGGCGGAGCTTCACGCCCGCCATCCTGAAGAGGTCGCGCCACACATGCCCCGTAAACACGGGGTCCCGATCACTGATGATCGAAGAGGGAAACCCATGGAGGCGGACGATCCCGTCGAAGAAGGCCCGGACCATGGACGTCGCAGTGTAGGGGTGACCGAGCGTGA